CTCGAAGGCGTCGTGGCCCTCGTTGAGGCTACCGGTGCCGCTGCTGGACTTCTTGGAGCTGGCCGTTGCCGGCGTGGCATGGGTCTTGATCCAGCTTCTGACCTCTCCCCGGACCGTGTTTTTATAGGAATCGTTGTCGTCGCATCGAACGAGGAGGACTTTCAAGTACGGCGTCCGCCGCAATCCAGGAATCTGGTGACGCCTCTGCCCCCCTTGTGTTGTTGATGCCGAAACTCCAGCGCTCTCGACCGTTTCAATTGAAGCAGCTCTACCGCCAACGTTCTGTGTCTGGAAGCCATCGTCTCGGGCTGTGCTGTCAGATCGTCGCAGCGCAGGAGAGGCCACGCTGGGCTGTGCTTCCTCACCAGCACGTACTAAATCGACATGGAGGGCTGGGATAGATCGCAGAGGACCTGCGTGCGATTGCCAATGGAGATTTTGCAGCGGAAGGCGAGGTACTAGACCTGGCGCAAGGAGCTTGAAGACATCGTGGGGGTCGTGGTACTCGACTGCATGCGCATGGCGGTCAGCGGGACTTGGAGATGCGACGTAGTGATTGTTTGAGGGATCAGGCACAGCACATACCAGTTACCTTTGAAGTCGAGTAGTTCTGCTGTTCCATGGCCGACAGCTGAGCTTTACGTGATTTGACACTGCACAAAGTAAAGCTGTCAAGCCCCTTAAGTTGCATTGGAGGAGCTACGAGCTTCCCCAGGATGCGACCCCAAGCAACTGGCCTACCACCCTGCCTACCTACCCTATAGGCAGAGTGTATCCTGGTCCAAAGCTGTTGATGAATACAACAACCCTTGCCTGAGGAAGAAAAAATTAAGACCTAATTAATTAAGTCAAGGTGACTTTGGAGAAATTCTCAATTAACTTGTCAAAGGTCTTCTTCTTCTTTGGACTATCTGAGTCTCGCTATCACTAGACTGGTGCATTGGGATTTTAACACTTACACGCCTGAGACTTATCGCTATCAGCACCTTGAATTCCGTTGAGGTGCTTCTAAAAATACGAGCCATATTTAAGCCACTCGCATTCAAGTTAGCAAGCTAAAGAGAGTCCGTGTTGCAGCAAATAGTCAGAAAGAATGCTTAACAGACGCATCAAACTTGCTACCTAGGTACGCATTAATTGAATTAGGGACGTCAACCATTGATCGTCAGTGCTCAAACGTCATAAGGCGATAATTGGATTGCCATTCTCATCTTTTCTTAATCATTTTCTAATAGGAGGCTTTACGTTCCGAGCTTCAACATTTTACTTTCAGAATGCATCAAACTTCCATAAGCGTACATAGGACGCTATGGCCTAAGAGACCGAATCCGTCTTCTCGGTGTCGAGCGGTGGGCAAGAATGGCGAGGCTATTGGCTGGAAGCTGTGACGCCATACCGGAATGATAGTGGGGTTGTTGACGAGGGGCATTTTGATAGTTTTGCCCCGCGATGTCAAGGTGCAATGCCAAATCCCATCAACAACGCTCCCACATTCATTTCTGCCTTTTGTTTCCCTTGTTGATTTACGAACCATCCGCTGAGTTGGATAACTAATAGTGCCATTATGTCTACTCTCCAGGCAGTGCGCTACACCCGGGGCAAGCTCGAGGTCCTGGACCAGCTTCGCCTCCCCCATGAGTTCCACTATGATGCAGTCTCCAACCGAACAGAGGCATTCGACAGCATTGCCACCATGCGCGTTCGTGGCGCACCTGCGATTGCCATCGTAGCAAGTCTTGGCCTTGCCGTCGAGCTGCACAACCAGGGCCTCGCCACCGAATCCGTTGCCGACACCGTCGCCCAGATCGACGAGGCCCTCGACTACCTCAAGCAGAGCCGGCCTACCGCCGTGGACCTTACCAATGCCATCAACCAGCTCAAGGCACGGATACGAGCACCCGAGAACGCGGACAAGAACACCGTCATCGCTGCCTTCATCGAGGAGTCTGAGCGCATCTTCGAGAAGGATCTCCAGACCAACCTGGCCATTGGCGCTTCCGGCACCGAGTGGCTGCGCTCCAACACTGGCGCCTCGACTGACAAGCCCATCTCGGTCCTCACACATTGCAACACCGGCTCCCTTGCCACCTCTGGTCACGGTACGGCCCTCGGTATCATCCGAACTCTGCAGTCAAGTGGACTTCTCCGCCACGCCTACTGCACCGAGACTAGACCGTACAACCAGGGAAGCAGGCTGACGGCCTTTGAGCTCGTGTACGAGGGTATCCCCAGCACGCTCATTACCGACTCGATGGCCGCCTCCCTGTTCCGCACCCAAAAGGAAAAGACCAACATCACCGCTGTCATCGTCGGCGCCGACCGTGTAGTCCGCAACGGGGACACCGCCAACAAGATCGGCACCTACCAATTGGCTGTCTTGGCCAAGCACCACGGCATCAAGTTCATCGTGGCAGCCCCCACGACCAGTCTCGATCTCGAGACGGAAACCGGAGACGGCATCAAGATCGAGGAGCGCAAGAAGGAAGAACTCACACAGATTACCGGCGCCGTCGTCCGCCCGGATGGCACAATTGATGAGAGCTCCAAGGTCAGAGTCGCGACGGCCGACCAGCGGGTCGGCGTCTGGAACCCGGCCTTTGACGTGACGCCCGCCGAGCTCATCGACACCGTCGTAACAGAGAAGGGCGCCGTGGAGAAGGGTCCCGACGGCAAGTTTGACTTTAGCAAGATCCTGCCCGAGCGCTGGGCCAAGGTGGTTGGTGCTTGAAAAAAGGGAAAGATAGACAGCGAGTTCAAATGTGACATGGAAGAAACGTCTTATGATGAGATTGCCTATTACCTATGGTTTTGATTTATTAAAAAATCTTGATGCTTTCCATGACATTCTTAATAATATTTTACCTGTAGATAAAACGAGAACTTAAAAAGAATAGCGATAGACTTAATCGGTTTCCAACGGAGCAAGAAGACAACCGCCCTTACAGCTCCAAGTTGCCGCCATCCTTGGGTTGGAGGGCGTGGAGAATCAACTTTTGGTACCCCTCGACAGCAGACTCCAAATCACCAACCGTCAGGTTCTCGTGCGGCCCATGAGCCACGAAAATCGTTCCAGGACCATAGAGATACTTGGTGAAGTCGCCCTTCAGGTGTGGCATATCAGTTCCGTAGTTGACCACAATCTGGTCAAAGCCTGCAAGTGATCCCAACAGTCAGTTTACTGAGCCGCCTTGACACGACGTATCAAACATGTTGAGGGGAACAAGAAACCAGTCACTCACCTTCAACCTCGCAGTTAGCATCCACAAATCCGTATCCTTGGGAGCAGTCGAATTCAAACGCCTCCGGGTCAACCTCGTTCAGGATCGCCCGCATCCTCTCCTGGACGATATTCCCGCCTTCCTCTTGCGGCCCTAGAGCAACTCGAACCTGGAGTCCAGCAAAGGCTTCCTCGGGAATGACATTATCCGCGACACCGCCCTGGAGACGGCCCACGTTGACCGTCGTGTTCCCGTACACCTTGCTGCTGCCCAGATCCGTGTCTAGGATCTTCAGCAGGGCCCTCATCAGTAACTCATTGGCCGATTTCCCCAGCCAGGGATACCCGCTGTGCCCACCCACCCCGTGAGCCTTGACATCGCATTGCAGCGCGCCCTTGTGGCCGCAAGCCAGCTTGCCCTCGGTGGGCTCACCAAAGATGACGGCATCGAAAGTAACGTCGCGGATGTGGAAGTAGTCGTTCAGCTCGCGCATCCCGTCGCCAGAAACCTCCTCTCCCACGACGAATGCCAGCATCACATCGCCCTGAGCAACCTTGCCTGCCTTGAGAAGTTCGTCGAGAGCTGTCACCATGGCAGCAACGCTGGCCTTCGCATCAACGCTCCCGCGACCGCTTATCCTTGTATTCTTGGTCACCTCGCCATCTTCGATGCGGTAGGTATAGAAGGGGGGTACGGTATCAATGTGGCTCGTTAGCAGCACCTTGGGGTTGGGCACGCCGTTCACCTTCGGCCAGGCGACAACGTCGGCACGAGGCTCGTTGCTGGGCGTATTCTCCCTGGGCGGGACGCCGGTGGTCACTGATGCCCACCCCTTGCGAAGAAAGTAGTCGTGCACCGAATTGCTAATGGTGTATTCCAGACCAGAGACTGATGAGGTCTCTACCAGCCACTTGTGCAAGCTTAGAAGCTCCTCCCGAAACGCCGGCACCTCATCATTGCTCGATGACGAGGAGGGGATCTCGCCGCAAATCCCACGGGAGGCGCACGCAAGCGCGGAAGCAATGAGAGACACACGCATTGCTACGATTGGGAGTGTTTGGTTGATTTAACTTTGAACGATGTGCTGCGAGCCGAGGTCGGTCATGAGATAAGGTAAGTGGGTACCTATATGGATTGGGGTGATGACAAAAAAAGTAAGCGCCGGCGAATGGATGAATGAACTGGAGGCTGCTGAGCCATGCAATGAAATGTGAAAAAAAGTTCTTGTATTGATAGTAAGTACTCAAGGACTTGTATAATTCATTCCTAATTAGAGCAACCAGTTTTGAAGTGTTTCTTTTAAACAACAGTCCCCCACTTTTTGGAGTTGCCGAAGTTACCTTATTCTTGGCATGCAGAAGCTGTCTACGTCTTTTTGTCACCTAGCAATGATGCAATTCAAAAAGCAAGAGGTTGGTTGGCAGGGATCAGCCGCTTGAGGTCCTCTCACCCCACACACTAGGCAGGCATCACCAAAGGCCTATCTCAAATAAAATCTTAGGTTTGCTGGAAATGGGTATAAAGAGGGCAAGGCTCATGGAAACTATATTTGGACGACGAAATAAACATGCTTCCGTAGCAAGCCATTGGACATAAAGGCTTTTGACCATCCCATTGAATGACCCTAGATAGGAGGGCACCTTCTAAAGATTAATCTTTTTGGTTTTCTCAAGGGAACGTTTCCATCCGATGACTATAAACATGTTGTGTTACGATCCATACCTCTCCACAATATAAATGATTCTGACGAAGTATCGGTTCGCCTATGCTGACGCTTGGGCTTTAGCTCCCAATACCCTCCTCGACGAAAGGTGCCCACTTGACATGTGAACTTGGACGACGTGATTCATCCTCCTTATCAATAGCTTTGATAGATGCTGGAGTATAAGGTCGAACTCGTTTAGTACCCTTCTCTGAGTTTCCAGATATATCTCTTAGAGTAATGGATTCAAGGCTTGGGATAATTGCTCGGAGCTCGCCCCCTGGGCAATATTGATCTGCCCCTGATATTTTTCGCGGGCGGGGAGTTTGATCCTCTTGACAAAGCTTCGACGAGTTAATCAGGTATGGAATATCACCATTTGCCGGCATGTGTATTTGCTGAGAGACTTTGCGAATATCAGTTTGGAGTATGCCATGGGTCGAATCAGACGAGGTCGGAGAGGGCTGCAATTGTTTCTGGAGACAAGCTTCTTTCCGCGATTTAACAGTCTTGGACGGCACACTGCCTGTCTTTGGCTGCCCCTGAGAAGGAGGTATTGGGTGATTCAGCAATGAGTTGGTGAATGAGGTGGCCAATCCTGGAGGGATCGCTTTGCCTTGTGAAGCCATTGATGACATAGAACCTGGGATGAACGGTGAGACAGTAGAATATGTTAAAGTGAGAGAATGTTGTAGGTTACCATTTGCACAGTATCCGAGAATTCCTCCAGGTGTTGCACTGTTGTTCTGGTCCATGGAAGCTGATACTTCCTCAAATTCTGGCTGCGGGTTATGGGTTTGATCCGATCTGCATGAGAATTGACAGTCTGATCCAGTGGTAGGAATATAATCGGTCATGCTTGTGTCTGTTTTTGATTTCCGCAGCGCCCGACTGACTTGATCATTGGGAGGCTGTGAGTTTGGGTTCACCATGACACTCCCAGCCATGCTGGGCCACTCGAGAGAATATTCATTATTGATGTATCCCTGACCGCCATAGAACATATCCAAGCTTGGATTTCGGTTATCGAAATTAGTTTCTGACATAAGACCCTGAATTAATGCCAAGTTGCAAGCTAATTGTTCGGAGTTGCTAGACGCGTTACGGCGAGGCGAATGGGTATGCAGTTCCAAGTTTTCCGATGCATATGTCGGGACGGGCATTGAAGAAGTGAAGTGCGATCGACGCCACATAGAGGAGTTTGGCCACGCAATTCCGGAGTTTTCAAGTATGTCTGGATCCCAGATTTGTGAGCATAAATAATTCTACCCACCATTTGGTTTACTCATCAGGTCTTACCGAGAGGAGCATGTAGGAATGAGAATGCAACGATATTCTTGACGCGCTCTATCGGCACAGAAGGAGAGTCGCGAGGGAAACCTTCGCTCAGTACAAGCTTGATTCTGCCTATGTTATCTCCAGGGTTCCAGCGATTTTGCTGCAAAAATTCCCGCTGAAATTTCGGGAATGTAAGAGCCTCAAGATCGCCATTTTTGGAGAAATCTGGAAGGAATGAATTAGCCGACAAGGATTGTAAGGCGTGGAGTTGTGTATCCCAATCTCACTGAAGATATTGGAAATGGCATGTGGCCAGCTAGCTAGGCGCCCAAAGGAAGTTGACCTGGAAATTTGTGAGACCAAGCCAAAACGAAAACGTCTGTAAGAAATCTCACGCCACGAGCCGGCCATCAATAAATAATCTTGCTTCGAAGATGAGCTTGTCAATATACTTGCTGTAGGATCGAGTGAACTGGCTGACAGGTGGCCGGTCCCAACTATGAATGGAGATTTTGAATGGGGTTCCAAATTCTAAGCTCGGAACGAAGCAGCAGAGAGTAGGGAGACCAAAACGCCCTTGAGCGTGAGAAAATTCTGGCGATTAGCCATGGTTGTTAGTATCGTCCATTCAATCAGTTGGCGTTGATGGACATACCGGGATCTGGAACCACATGGCAGCATACGTTGAATTCTTTTAGAGGAGTTTTGGAGTCTCTTGGTACAAGAACGATGTCCCAGTCTTCGTACCGCATTGTAAGGGTGTCTGAAGAGTAGCAGTTGACTTGAGGCCTCGACTAGAAATGTGTTGGGTGTATATGTTTGGAGCTGAATTAACAAATGTAAACAGTTCAATTGAAGGTAGAAAAAGAAATCCAGCGCAGCGGCGGAGACGTTTTGCCTGCGAGTTTATTGCCTTGAAGTTGATCACCCAGTCCTGCCTGCCTCAACTGATCTGCCCCAGATGCGCCCTTCAGAACCCGTAAACCCAACACTTGAAGCTACCACCCTAGGTGCCTACCACATTCCTCAAGTAAGGTAATGCACATGTATCTACGGGTTGACTTGCCTTCTTTGTCATTAACTGGTCCTTTCTATCTGACCTACTGGCACTGACAATAGCTGTTCCCACACACTCAAGAACCTCAGGTATACAGGTAGGTAACCGTCACCTCGGAAGCATGGCAGTACGTGTCTCGGCGTCAGGGCCCAAGGGCACTCAGAGAACCTTTAGCACTTGAGGATAAGGGATTAGTTCTGGATAGCTTTGAAGCTGCAGCAAGAAAGCACTATTCGCGGCTCTTCTCCCCCAGCAGGAGTTGGCCCGGGCATCTGACCATCTAGTAAGACGATCTGACTATAAAAAGCGTAAATGGCCTGTTTCACTTTTTTACGGCAGGTTACTGCAGTAGTGGTCACTCGATTCCAGATTCGTGGTAATAAAAACACATTGAATTCTCTGGTCCTCCTTTAGGTTACAGATTATTTACAAAGGGAAAACGCAATTGAAGTTGTCTGCAGATTGATTTTTCATGGGTCCTCGTCGCCAGCCTTTCGTGCCTGAAGGTTTGTTAGCTGGATAATGATCATAAAGGCATATACTGCTTCTTCCAATACATACCCTCACGGCGCCGGGCCCACCAAGCTCTCGCTCCAGACCATTCTCAAACTCCCTGGGATATGCGATCCTGTCTGGGTAGTTAAGGTATACCAAGCCGGAAACACCCAGAACGGTGGCAATGAAGGTGCCAATCATGATGAGACCGGGCCCGGCTGTAGTCCAGGTGTAGTCCCAAGGCGAGAAGATACCGAGGATGTCGTTGTCTTCATGAACCGTCTCTCCAAAATTCCTTCGCTCCTGAGGGTCCCACCAGTCGGCATGGGGATCACGGTGCTGGCGCTTGATGGCTGGGGGGTTAATGTAGCCTCCGTTCTGTCGCGATGTGAGGGTTAGTTTCCACCATGAGCAAATAATTACGACTCCATCCAATTCGACACCCCGAGGCAATTGAACTGACCATGTCGGGATCCTGGGCAGCGGTCAATCGGGTGGGATCAGGGTATTTGGCGTCGAGTGTCTTGCGGTCGGTGTACTCGGATGGAAGGAAGGTACGTCGCTGGACAATCGGTAGTCGTCGGGCGGCAGCCATTCCACTGCGAAGGGCCGAGGCCCGGACAACTCGCTGAGAGAGCATCTGGAGAGGGAAGTGTTATGTCAGAATATACTCTAATGATGGAGTGCTTGAGAAAATATCCTGTGACGTACCTTGAGCTAATTGACAATACGTGGGACGTCAATTGCTCTGTGGGCGGTTTTCGAGATGGCTGCTGGTCGCGAACTCGAATGAGGTTAACGGAGATGGTCATCTTGCTTTCTGCCTCGATTATGAGGCTGAAGTATGACTAAGCCGAGAGCTGCTGAGCGCCTACGGCTACTGTACTTGTTACACAGAGCAAGCTACACAGATTGACGTTTAATGGTTGTAAGCCCATCCTCGCCAACAGATGAATAATGATGCCTTGATCGAGCATGATGCATGCGAACTTCAAAATGCAGGAAATTCGAATGATGGCCACTCAAGCACCTCAATGATGCTTCGCCATGATTTGAGCTCTACTGGACAGCTCTGAGCTGCTGTCGACCAGATACAGCCCTCATTTGCATCGCCGGCTAGCCTCGGCCACGACAACATGTGGGAATGACAAGGACTCGGATCAAAAGCTCCTAATGCGGACTGTCGCCTTGCATCTTGAAGCCATATACTACGCGAACACTTGTTCATCCTGTCCATGGGACAGCTGAAGAAGCAACCTCTGACCATAGCTGAGGATCATTCACTGTCTCTAGCGTTCATGCTAGCGGCACAACACCGGATCGGATCGCTTAGTCATCCCCACCTCGAGATTCCCCGACAGTCGAAAGAAAGTGGGACCTGCCCCCCCTAGGCAGTCGCGTGTATTGGAACAGGGCTGCCAGTGAGTGCAAGCTGTTGGTTGGGCAGTGCTGTCCAATTTTTTCTCGCCGGGTGCCATAACCCATCGCTAGTCACAGGGGGGGCGCGTGATTCTGCATCTCGAAATCTCCAGCTCTAAAAGTTTTGCTGACGACACTATATTTGCACATCAAAACCATCATAGCCCACCCCATGGGCCTTTGATCATGTGCGAATCTTGTGAGGACATCCGCCCAGCCGAGACGCTTCCGTAGACGTTAGTTTTATGTCGCCAAATGACAGCCTCGGGGAGACCAAGCCATCTGCGCCCTTAGGCTCCCAGTTCCTATTATGACCAAGCCCGCGTCCACCGATGGTGTGCTGCCCGATGCACCTCCAAGCGGCCCCAAGAACTCCAATGACGAGGCATTCCTGACGCGAGAAGGTCAAAACGTGATCAAGGATCACCCTTTAAGCCATGTCACGGGCAACAAGTTATCGAATGGACGCGTCGAAGTCGGTGACGTCCCCATGGAACCCTCCACCGACGCCGCAGCCACCCCAGCAACCAACGGCCACACGACAGACGGCGAGAACGTCGCCATCAACGGCCACAACTCTGTTGACAAAACACACGACGATACCGAGCGACCAGCAAAGCGAAGACGCACGCGTGATGCGACACCCCCGCCAGCTGCTCGCAAACTGAAGCCGATATCTCCTCCGTGGAAGCGCTTCGACGCTGATGGACCGACATCTTACACGGACAATGGTCGTCGAAGATCAGGCCGAACGAACTCAATACCTATCGAACACCAACCCTCTGGGAAGAAGCGACTGACAAGGGCCGCCATCAATGGAGCTCAAAACACACCGTCCGCCAAGATCCCACCTCCCCCTTCTCCACGATCCAGCCGTACCTCCCACGTTGCATCAAAGCCCGCCTCGATTTCAAAGCCCAGCCCAGCGACGAAATCATCTTATACACGGTCCTCATCAGGGTTAACACCCAAACCCAGCTCGAAGAAGCCGGATGCAGAGCCGAAGACATCCTTGCGAGCAACACGTCGCCACACTCCCCCTCCAGCTACCCAACCTTCTCGGCAATCTAGGCGTTCGCTTAGGTTGTCTCGTCAAGATGACGAGTTTGATGACATTGAGAACACGACACCACTCCGCACTACTCGGCACTCAACACGTGAGCGCCCTGGCCCTTCACCTCGAATCAAGCTGCGTGTTAGCAGATCGGATTTCATCCCCTTGGTGCACCCTGACCAGGTACGCAAACGACCGAAGATCGGTACAAGTTTTGAAGACTTCTGGAATCGCGCTGGTGGTGTTCCAGTAGAGGAGGGGGGGCTCCAAGTTCTCGAAGATGGCACTCCGTACTCGGATGAAGCCGCCCTCAAGGATGCCCGCCTCATTATGCGAATTGAGGACGAGGCGGAGCCCGGGGGGTTGCTCTCTGAAGGCCGCTGCTCTCTTTTCGCCCCAGAAGGCGAGGAAGAACCGCCGCGCCAATGGGCCCGGCAAGACCACATGGTTCGGGCCATGACCAACTTCCGACGACTCATGCTCGCCGAGCAACAACGCCACCGTGCTACCGCGAAGAAACTGGCCGAGGCATGCCGTGATGAATGGATCCGACGACAGCCGAAATCAGCAGAAGAGATTGAGCGTGAAGCCAAGGACTATTGGATCGGCAGATACAGACTTGTCGCACGGACACTCTTTGGGACATGGGACAACGTTCGAGCCGAGGTCAATAGAAGGCGTTTGGAACAGTGGGAGGCTGAGGAGCAGCGCCGAGTGAAAGCTGCTTTAAATGAAGCGGTCAACCTATCTGAACAGAAGCTGCAAGCTCGGCAGACCGGACTAGACTCCGAGTTGATCTCAGATGAGGATGATATGTCCGATATGTCGGATGATTTGGGTCTTACGTCTGATGGTGACGGAGGAGCCGAAATCGACTCTGCGAGCAGCGACGACGAAGCTGACGATGAAAACAGCGACAATATGTCATCCTCCGGGGATGAGGAGGATGAAGATGGTGGCGAAGACGTCGCCGATGAGGGGCTGACTCAAGAACAACTTCAAGCCAAATATGCCAATATTCCAACTATCAAGGATGATGCTGAGCAACCTGCCGATGCAGCTCAGACCCCTATCGTGAATGGGGTGGATGATCACTCAGGCTTAGCTGACGAAACAACTGATGAATCCGTGGACATGGACGACGATATGGGTACTACGGACAGCGATGAATCTGGCTCCGCCGAGGATGATTCGGAAGAGAGTGATGAGGACGGTTCAGCTGGTGGTCTACTTGGCCTTCTCTTCGGCAAGTCTGAGTTGAAAACTTTGAAGAGCGAGGCAGAAAGCGAGCTCCCCACATCAGACGCTGTATCTGAGGCACAAGGCCCGGAGGCCAAACGCGAGACTGTTCCTACAAGCCCCCATGAGGGAGATAATGGTGAGAAGATGAATGGGGTTGAGGAAGAAACCGCTGGCCAATTGTCAAATCCTGCAGCCACTGTCGCGGATCTCGAAGAAAAGAACCAACCGGAGGGTCAAGAAGAGGTGAATGGCCTTCATAAACACAAGACTTCGCCAACTTGTTCCGACCCCGAAGGGAACGCCACCGAATTGACATTAGGGTCGCAAAAGCCTTCGACAAGCTCACCCATGGAAGTTGATCATGCACCGGTTTCAGAGCCTGTTAGCAAATCTCAAGACAACGGCCCTTCTGTCACAAATGGGACACATGTATTCGAACCCGACGACATAATCATGGAAGATTCCGAAAACAAAGCCGAGGTTCACCAGGATGACGCCCAGCTAGCTATTTCTCAAGAGCATGACGGAGTCGAGCTTGCAATAGAGAAAGTTAATGGCTCGAATCAACTCGAACAGCTGGGTGCTGAAGATAAGGACGAAGTGGGGGAATCTGAACAAGTCGATCGAGGCAACACTGAGGCTCCGGAGACAACAGTCGTGGAAACACAATCCTCACCTCCGAAGTCGGATCACAAAACTGAAGTTCCTTTCCTCTTGCGCGGGACTTTGCGAGAATATCAACATCACGGGCTGGATTGGCTTGCTGGCCTCTATGCTAACAATACGAATGGTATTCTTGCAGATGAAATGGGCCTCGGTAAGACGATCCAAACAATTGCACTTCTTGCTCATTTAGCTTGCACTCACCACGTGTGGGGCCCACATTTGGTCATTGTTCCGACAAGCGTGATGCTGAACTGGGAGATGGAATTCAAAAAGTGGTGCCCGGGCTTCAAGATTCTTGCGTACTACGGAACACAGGACGAACGAAAGCGAAAGCGACAAGGCTGGAATAATGACGATGTCTGGAATGTCTGCATTACCTCGTATCAGCTTGTTCTACAAGATCAACAAGTGTTCAAGAGACGAAGGTGGCATTATATGATCTTGGACGAGGCGCACAATATCAAGAACTTCAAATCCCAGCGCTGGCAGACACTGCTCGGGTTTAACACCCACTCTCGACTACTTCTGACCGGTACACCCTTGCAGAACAATCTTACAGAATTATGGTCTCTGCTTTTCTTTTTAATGCCTGCGGAGAATGGTGCTGGTGGATTTGCAGATTTACAAGAGTTCCATGACTGGTTCCATAAGCCTGAGTCTCAAATTCTTGAAAGTGGGCGGGAACAGATGGATGATGAAGCCAAAGCGATCATCTCCAAGCTTCACAAAGTGCTTCGTCCATATCTTCTGCGGCGCCTCAAGGCTGATGTTGAGAAGCAAATGCCTGGTAAATATGAGCACGTTGAGTTTTGCCGACTATCAAAACGTCAACGTGAGCTCTATGACGGCTTCTTGTCTCGGGCGGATACCAAAGACACATTGGCTTCAGGCAACTATATGTCGATCATCAACTGTTTGATGCAGCTCCGAAAAGTCTGCAACCATCCTGATTTGTTCATTGATCGCCCCATCATGACTTCTTTCCGTATGATCAAGTCAGTCCCGGCGGACTACTCCTTTACCGAAAAGACCATAAAGCGATGCCTTTTCCCTGAACAGTTGATGAGTACTGTCAGCCTCAACTTTCTGAACATGATCCCCGCACAGTATGAGTCGCTTTCCACCGTTGCTACTGAGCGCATCTGGCAGCTTAGCGGTGGTAACCGGACATTGACGGAACTCCGAGAGACTCAAAAGAGCAGAGCCCAAAAGGCGTACGTCACTCTTGACCCTTCGACTGTGAACTCAAATATTGCGTATCTGGAAAGTGCCGGTCGATGGGGCCGTTTTGATGAGCTGCAGCATGTCGTGTACTTGAATGCTCTTCGCCGGCAACAAAAACCTATATACGGCAGAAATCTGATCGATCTTCTTACCATTGGCGTTGACCAGCGCCCTTGCAAGCCAAAGCCCAAGGTTCCAAAGAACATCATGGCATGGTTTGAAGAGGATTCATGCTTCATCCGATCTATGGTGTCATCAGTGGATCAACGAGCGGACGCGTTCAGGACTACAATCGAAAAATTCTCCTGCGTCACACCGGCTGTCGTTACTCGAGACCTGGATTCAATCGTCCTTGGGGAAAAAGGCGTAAACGCATTCACAGATGAAGATTTACGGCTTTCTGCACCTGTGCATTGGACCCCATGGATGCCGAAGGAGCCTCCCCCTGATCCCTGGCACGAGTCCCGGATGCGCTCAAGCATTCAGTTTCCTGACAAGCGCCTTCTCCAATATGACTGCGGAAAGCTGCAAGTATTGGATGGTTTGCTTCGCAAGTTACAGGCGGGCGGGCACCGTGCTCTGATATTCACTCAGATGACCAAAGTCCTGGATATCCTGGAACGGTTCCTTAACATCCATGGACATAAGTATCTACGCTTGGACGGTGCGACCAAGGTTGAGCAACGACAAATTCTAACGGATCGTTTTAACCACGACCCCCGCATCCTGTGTTTCATTCTGTCTACGAGATCAGGTGGTCTTGGCATCAATTTGACAGGTGCTGACACCGTCATCTTCTATGACCAGGATTGGAATCCAGCAATGGACAAGCAGTGCCAGGATCGATGCCACCGTATTGGTCAGACAAGAGATGTTCACATTTACAGACTGGTTAGCGAGCACACGATTGAGGCCAACATTCTCCGAAAAGCCTCCCAGAAGCAGATGCTCGATGACGTTGTCATCCAAGAGGGTGAATTTACCACGGACACATTTAACAAGGTGTCGGTTGGCGATGTCCTCAAAGACAAAGTGGATTTCACCAGTGAAGGCGTCTCAGCTGCCGATGCAGCCTTGGATCGTGTTCTAGGCACTGGACCTGATGATAGCAGCAGCCGTCGAACAGTTGGGCGGGCTTTGGAGCAGGCAGAGGACAAAGAGGATGTGACAGCCGCCCGAGTGGCCGAGAAGGAAATTCTCGCAGACGATGCAGACTTTACGGAGAAGCCCAGTAACACAGCGTCAGGTGCATCAACGACACGGCAAGGCACACCAGCTACTAAATCAGTCCTGGACGGCGGAGTGCTGGATGAGCCCGACATCGTGCTGGATGAGTTGGAATACAATGCTTGGGGCGCCCAAATAAAAACGATCGACCAGTATATGCTTAACACCATGGCAGAGTATCTGAAGGACACCAAACTTGAGCTACCCAAGGATAAGAAGAAGAGCAAGAAGAAGGGCAAAGACACCAGGAAACGATGAGTACGGGGTTGTACAGTAGGGGAAGAGAAAAAGAGAGATACCTCAGCGAGGTCAACGACAGCTCTCTCATGTCGAGCGTATTGTACTACAAAAACTGATGCGACTAATCACCACTGGCGGCAAAAAAAGGAAACATTGGGAAAATACTTGTTCTTTACTATGAAAAAAATAATAGAGCGTCTTGCATTGGGTTACCGCGACAGGAGTTTGATTTTGGAGGTGGGCATTTTGGCTAACCCCTGGTCTGGTTGATGGTGTTGATGGAGAGGGAAAGGGGGGTTAAAGAGAACTGCTGATTGGGCTGCTTGTGATTTAGGTGGCACGTCAGGTGTATTAGAACCATTCATATTGGGGAACAAACTCGCCCAGAATTGTATAACTCGGGTTTTCGAAACAAGTTTCCTTGGTCCGCTGAGATCAGCCTCGTTCCGATGTGCTAGCCAAGTAGGTATGATGTTCGATGATCGCCCTCGTATGTGACCCCTCTTCCGAAGGGCCAATTTCGAATATGTTTCAGAGGCTGAACCTTAGGGGTTTGGGGGCCACTGGTGGGATTACATGGGGTGAGATTTGCGTCGCTGCAGGCCAAGCTGCACGAATAGCTAGGAGCAGCTCCGAGGCACTCTCATATTGCGTCACCCCACCTTCATCGCCTGGACTGTATGCATTTCGATGTATTGGGGGGCTGATCAAGAGATGGCTGCTTACCTCTGGGCCGTATAGGCATAATCCTCTAACGTGTTTGGTGCGTGGCAAGATGATGTAGGACGACTAGTGTTTACGAGTGGCTGGACGTTTGCAACCAGTCACTGATCAGAATCAACCTGTTCAATTCATACGCGCAAGTACGTATCTTACCTGATGCTGTACCGAGGGGCAGACCTCCTATACGCAAAAAACTTGCCACATTTGATCAACCTTGCCTGCAGGCTAGGTACGCTCAGCTCTCTACCCACTGTTGAGAATGTGCCCGATGCGCAGCTCAAAACCAGACTAGATACACAGAGGTTCGTATCAATATGGCCACGCAGGCAGTGTCAATGGCAGGCAATAAGTTAGAATTCAGGTGCTGCATGACAAGGTGGTAATTTGGGACATGCATCAGTAGTGGACATGATAGAGTTGGTTGGGTGGCCGAAATTCAACTGGGTTAGATGCACGTGCAACTTGCCGGCGGCCAACGAAACCAACATTCATAGAGCAAAAGAAAGGAAAAAAACAATGAGAAGTAAATTTGAATTTGGGTTGGTGGCTGAGCTGAGGCATACATGCCTGCCAACCCAACGGCCCCTAACCTGATAGGATGGATACAATGAATGGAAGGCACCTTGGGTAGCACTCAGGCTGGCAGCATGAAGATCACAGAGGTACTTAGGTACTTCATCACGGTGTGGTGTTGGTGGCTGTGCACACACGACACGGGAGGTTCTGCTGGTCTGGACTCTGCACCGCGCTGTGCTACCTACCAGAACCATCAAATCCAATCCATGGATGCCTCCATCGAGGGCCGCTCGGGTCGGTGCGAGCGCGCACAAGCTGCACGTCCGTAGTAGGCATGTACTTCGGCATGGTGCAGCAGTCGCTGGTGGCACGGGCCTGCTTGGAATGGGCTAGGCAGCGCCCCAAGTGCCCCTACCTACTGCTAAGGTAGTGCCTGTGCCTGTGGCTGCACCTTTTTGGCGGTCCCGCCGGGCGGACTGCCTCCGCCAATCCACCGACGACTCCTTGTTTCGTGCTAAAAAGGAGTGGGCGGCCAACCAGCCCGTTGTGCAATTACGTAGCAGCAGGTCGGACGATTCAACGGGGGGCTCCAAGCAGCAGTCAGTCGAATCATCATTCATTCATTCATTTCTAGAGCCCGTCTTCGGCAGTCTTGTCCAACCAGTCGCCGTCCGACCACACCCCGGCGTTCCTATTCCCAAGGCGAAACCAACTACCTATCTCATCACCACAGCGAAATCACCACACGGGGACCTCCGCTGTTCGCCAGTGATTTTGGCCTTCCTTGACCGGGGCATCCTCTGCAAGGGCTAATCTTAATTCCTTTTCCCTCCCGTTCCGTTTTTCTTCTTGACTGCCAGCATTTGCCAACACGCCATCGCGAATCCGAGTGTCCAACGACTAGCTCGTTCTTGCCTCCTGGTCATTAACCATCGCTTAACACACCACGACCGTCCTATCGCATCGTGTCGAATGTGCGTACCTCGAAACCGAGCCATCTCACGATACTGGGGGCGACATCACGAGCAGCCCGTCCTCAGCTCTTCACGCGCACGGAAATCGTCGAGTCCCATACTCTATTACATTCCCTCGTTGGTCTAATTCGTCGCGAAGCCTGGGTCGTATAGTGGTTTAGACGGGGACGCGCCTCGTGCTCGTGGAGGGAGATGCAAACGGCAAGGGGAAAGAGTGAGGTGCAGGGAAGGAAGGCCAAGGTGCGCTCTATTCATTAGCCCGAACGATTGCCGGGGCATTGGCTAACGGCTTCTCTCTCTTCAGCTTGCGCGCTCGTACCAGGAGCTTCTGGAGTATGTCTCGCCGCGATCGAGGGTTCTCCTGGAATACACGGATCTCTCTCTCCGCAGCCTACGTGCAGCTTGCTAACATGTCACAGCGAATTCGCTCACAAGGAACTGAAATCTGTCGGCAACTATGCTCTTGGTCGCCTAGTAGGGAAAGGATCTTTTGGCAAGGTCTACTTGGCACAGCATAAGCTCACCAATGGCTCCAAGGTACGCGCGGGGGACAAATCGGGATACTATCCGTTGGGTTTCGTTAACACGCATGTTCTCAGGTTGTGCTCAAGTCGGCCAACAAAGGCGACTCGAACCTCGCGCGCGAGATCCACCACCACCGACAGTTTGTCCACCCCCATATCGCGCGGCTGTACGAGGTTATTGTGACCGAGAATATGGTTTGGTTGGTTCTGGAATACTGCGCCGGTACGCCCCTTCTTCCAATTCGGTCATCTCGGCCTATACAGTTGTCATGTCCCTGGCCGAACTCGACTGATGTATGTAGGCGACGAACTTTACAACTACCTCTTGGAGCACGGCCCTCTGCCTGTTCCCAAGGTCCAGAAGATCTTTGCCCAGCTCGTGGGTGCTGTCACCTACGTCCACAAGCAGTCGTGCGTCCACCGAGACCTCAAACTGGAGAATATTCTCTTCGACACGCATGAAAATGTGAAGCTGGTAGACTTTGGTTTCACCAGGGAGTACGAGGGGAGGACGAACCATCTGCAAACCTTCTGTGGTACGATATGCTACTCGGCACCCGAGATGCTGAAAGGGGAGAAATATGCGGGCGAAAAGGTCGATGTTTGGAGCCTGGGTGTGATCCTTTATGCATTGCTCTGCGGCGAGCTACCTTTCGACGATGACGACGATAACGTGACTCGATCCAGAATTCTGACGGAGGAACCCAAGTACCCTGACCACCTCTCTCCTGATGCAGTATCTCTCTTGAAGGCTCTGCTGTCTAAACGGCCGCTTCCACGGCCGTCGCTTCCTGACATCCTTGCGCATCCCTTCATCGCTGAACATGCACCTGCACAGCAAGCGATCCTTGACATCAAGTCACCTGCGCCATTCTCGACTGCGCTAGAAAACGAGTGTCTTCACCGAATGCGAGCAGCCGGAGTAGATACCGACGCGGTGATGGAGAGCGTGACGGCGCAAAAGTGCGATGCCCTCGCTGGGTGGTGGACACTACTACTGGAGAAAGAGACGCGGAAAATGAAGAGAAGAGAGATAAAGCGCAAAGAGCGAGAAGCTGAGACCAAGAGCATGCGCCGAATCTCGGCTGCGTCAAGTCGACTGGAGCGCTTGGCTCCCATGCTGCAAGATGTGGATGAGGATGGGGGCCTGTCTCTGATGAGGACAGGAGAGGGTTCTGCGTCCCGCAGCCGAGGTAGGAGTAAGCGTAGGAGCGCACAGTACTACAATGAGCTGCATCTCAAGGAGATCCCACCGCTTCCCGATAGCGGTGGGCGGTTCGAACCCACGAGTCCAGATGAGATTCCTCCAACACCGATCGACAAAGATTCAATTCGGTCAGTTTCGACTTCGCGCCAACGAAGACCGCCTCCGCCACCGAAGGAAGGGGTGATCCGTAGTGCTAGATCCCGTGGATCAACCCTCCACCTTGTGACAACATCAGATGCCTTGGGGGGTGGGAGCAGCACGACGGGATCAGATGCCAAGCACGGCGAGTCGAAGGGAAGAAGAAAGCCAGCTCAGGTCATCGTCGCCCACTGGAAGAACTGGACACATTGGATTTTCGAAAATACAACCAAGAGATCCAAGAGGCTCAATGAGAAGAACACAAGCCATAGCACCCCGAACTTGGGCAGTGGGAATGCCAAGGAAGCCAAGGACATAACCCCAAGACCTCAGACAAGCAAGTATCCTGGCTCTGATTCCTTGAGAGGAATGACTTCAGCCCCTCTCCCGAAGGGAGTGATTGCTAATGGACACGCCAAGGGGGGGCCGAGTGTGGCTATTCACCCATCTGCTCTTAAGAATGGCAAATCTGGGCATTCCCTCACCTCTTCAAGGCTGCAGCAGCATCAGCCGCAGCCCCCAGGACGGATACGCACTCCTTCCAATTCCTACAAGCGACAATCATTGTCGCCATCACCGATGACGCCGCGCTCTGGGATGCGCCGATCGTCGGCTGGGCTCAGGGGACGAAAGTCAACCTCATCATCTGTATCCTCTGTACGGTCTCTGCATCATCATCGCCACTCGCACTCCAAGGCATCCTCGACAAGCTCCGCTGCATCAATAACGGTATCCAAAACACCCCATCGGGGCCAATCCCCTCACCATTCAGTCAAGGTGTTGCCGGCAACACCAACATCAACCGCTTTCCCTTCCAATATTCGACTTGTCCGAGCCGCACCTGCCCCCTTGAGCCTGTATAACGAGGGCATGCCATCTCAAAATGATTCCCTGGGGTCACCCAACCCATTCGCAGCTGGTGTGATGTTCGCCAAGCGAAAGAAGAACCTGTTCAAAGGCCCATCGCTCAATTTCGGTGGTAGTCCTTCCAGTGGCCATCGCAACCTGGGTTCAGCAGGCCATTCTAGGAGCGGCAGCGGGTCAGCGCTCGGCCGCCGGTCTGGAGAGATCACTATCGAGGAAGAGGATGAAGATCCTTCAGAAAATCCAGAGGTCATCGAGGAGGTTGAGTCTTTCTCACCGATCGTCAGTGGACCTGGCGAAATCATCACTGAACAGATCCTCGAGGATGATGAGCCCACGCCAACTAAAGATGCCGCGTTTTCGCTGGCGAAAAATGGTATCCACGCAGCTGACCAGGCCCATGGATCCGAAGAAACAAAGATATCCCTTGACTCCCCCATCCGACTGAAGTGATGGGCTCTGCACGTTTTTGAAACGACTTTTTATGACACTTATCAAAGCAAAAGAAGCGCAGCCGAAAAGTACCCTTTTACTATTTGCCTCGACGGACCATATTCCCTTATATCCCCATGTCCTCCATTTCCTCTCCCGCTTCTACTGCTCTATCTTTAGCCATATTCACTCTACAATTCCTCATGTAAAACGCCACTTGTTTTCACCATTATCAAGTTAGCCCCTCTTCGCCTTTCCCCTGACTCTTAAACTCGGCTCCCCGCATCCATCTTCGATTCTTGTTAACTTTTACGTCATCAATTTTTTGTGTCCGCGTTGGTACACATACGCTGTCTATTGATACCAGTGGTGGAATGGCGGATAGGGTTGATTTGCTTCAGTGGAGTTTTATACCGTAGATCGATTTGCCAGGCTAGCATGCCGCCCAACTTATTCTTTTCTACTCTTATTCACAGGCATGGGCCTTCTATTCATTAATGTAAAGAACATTAGGCTGGTAAGCCTTGGGATAGATCAATCTGTGTGACCTTCGGCTCGCCATGACTTTATTTGAAATTTATAGTGTCCGTACTGTCTTAGTAGTCTCCGTCGTAAGATCCGTTGATCTGACGTGAAGTCATAGATAACCCTGGCCAGCCATACTCGCTTGAGATGCCAACCAATATGGTATCTCATCAAGAAAAAATAATACATATCTGCTTCGACGGCCAGCCTGGTCACAGAAAATGAGAACGCAAATATACCCATTGGATCGCCATGTTCCCCTCTACGTCAAAGAAATGTGCCGGATACAAACAAGATGTAGCTAACCCGCTAGAATATTTCATGTCAAAGAAAAAAAAAAGTCATCATTCTTGGGCTTCAGGCTGAGAGAATCCCCCAATCTCCTCCCCGTACACCGTAACCCCTCCCGCAGTCCTAGTCGTCCTTGTCTTCGTCGCTCCTCTTCCGCAGCTTGTGGACGAGGGCCTGCCTCTCCTCGCGCAGGGTCATCCACACCCAGAACCAGGAGATCATCTCGAGGAAGAGGAAGGTGAAGGCGACCCTGTTCTTGAGGGTGTCGCCGCCCCAGGTGCCGGGGGTGTATGAGGGGTTGTGGGCGCTGGGGTGGGCGAAGCGGCCGCGCGGGTTGACGGAGGCGAAGAAGGGGGAGGAGGGCCCGGTGAGGAAGGCGTAGAAGAGGACGATCATGAAGAAGAGGGAGCGGATGGGAGCTGGGGGATTTGTCAGTGGCTGGTACTGGTTTCTAGCTTGGTAAGGAGGGGGGAGGCTCTTTCTTACCTTGGGCGCCCCAGTAGTAGATGAGGGTGATTTCCTCGGGCATGGAGAGGGAGACGAGGTCGCTGATGCCGACGAGGGCGAGCACGACTGAGAGTAGTCCAAGAGGGTGGCTTTGGGATTCGAACCCGCGGCTGATGGGCTAGAAGGGGGGAAGGAATGTTAGCGAGGGTGGGATGTGAAAGGTGCGAGGTAGAAGTCACGTACCATGCCCATGCTGTTACCGAGAACCCATACTAATGATTGTTCGTTGATTGTCCGCGGGTTGGAGAGGAAGAAGAAGGCGAGAGTGAGGTGGAAGAGGGAGACGGAGGTGATGATGGTTGTGGATGCTATTAAAGCCATGGTTGCGGATATGCGAAGATACAGATTGTGAGAAGACCAGAAGGGTGGGAGAAGCTGTGCCGGAGTCGAGTCGAGGAGTCGCGTGCCCGTTTTAGTATATCATGGAGGGGTTTCAGAACCAGACTGGCGTGGAGCGTCAAGCTATGTGTGTCGATTTATGCGAAGGCTCAGGGAGAAATCAGGACGGCGGAAAGGGAGAGCAAAGGAGCGCTGCGAACGAATGGAACAGGCGCACGCAATGCAGACGAAGCACCAGGTCATGCGCGAGAGAAGGAGGGTCGAAGGAAGCCTAGAGGTCTGACTGGAGCGACAGTGTGGTGCTGGCCATGCGCATCGTGATTCGGTACGGAATTCATCAAATCCAGACGAAGACGTGGCGGCGCGCTACAACTGATTAGATTAGATGGTTGCCTTATCGGCTAGTGGGCTCAGGGTGCTGTGCATCGCTCCACCACACCACGACATGCTGCCAGCGCTGCCTTTTGGCTTGTGATGGACCATGCACGTACAAAGACCATGATGTGGGATGGCCCCTCTCCTGGTATAAAGAAACCTGGGGGCAGATAGGGCGGATGGAATGGAACTCTATATCATTCCTCTCCTTTCATCTTTATTCTGCGACGGAAATTGTAGTGTGGTGTTATATGTCAAGTACCGACAGCTTGTTGATTTTCATGTGGGGGCCTGACAGACTTCATGCACCCCAAACATCGTATTATTGAAGCTCCAAACCAAATCCCCCACCTTGACTGCTCTCCCCAGTAAGCCTCCAAACAAATTATCCCGGCAACGCAACAGCGCATCTCAAGTATCGGCATAGGTCGTGTGAGTGGCCATTGCCAACGGCATCATATCCACCAATATGGCGGCCCTGAACAAAGAGAAGCACATCAAGTACTGGCAACGATGTTACAACAGCTATCTTCCCACCCCATACACCAGCTCGGATTCGACCCGGTTGATGTGGGCATGCTTCATCACCTCTGCGTATGATCTGCTCTCAATCCCCTTCAGCTCCACTGACCGCACCAAGATCCGTTCCTGGGTTCTTAGCCTACAGCACCCGGACGGTGGCTTCTGCGGCAGCCCAACCCACAGCCTTCCGGGCCAGGAGAGCCACAAGGGCACGGCCAACCTAGCCGCAACTTTCTTCGCCCTCATCACCCTCGCCATTGCTTCCGACGGCGAGGAAGAGGCCAAGGCTGCATTCGCCGGCGTCAGGCGGGGGAAGCTCCTGAGGTGGCTCAAGAAGCTGCAGAGGGACGATGGGAGCTTTGGGCAGAACCTGTGGGAGGGCAAGCCAGTTGGTGGCAGGGACACGAGGCACAGCTATCTAGCCAGCTGCGTCCGGTGGATGTTGAGAGGTCATCGCGAAGATGACGATGAGCCCTGGGAGGACGATGTCGATGTGAAAGCCATGATTGCACATCTTCGAAGGGGACAAGTGAGACTAATCCCAGCGTCATCCCAGGTCTTACGAAGCACGATTGTTCTAACGTCGTTTACAGACATACGATGGTGGTCTCGCTGAGTTCTCGGAACATGAATCACATGGTACGTCCAAGTTCAACAGTTTCTAGTGTTCAACTTGGTCCGGGGTGTGCGAATCCTATCTGGTTCTAACTTTGTTCATAGCTGGATACGCCTACTGTGCCGTGGGCGCATTGTGGTTCTTAGATCGACCTAGCTCGGCTTCTTCTCCACGACCAGAGCCCTCGTCCCTGGCGGCGATGGATCAAGGCATCCCTGACCGGCCTGGTATGCTGAGGTTTCTTGCTGGTCGGCAGTTCAACTACCTCGCCGGGGAAGAAGACGACGAGGAGGAAGAGGAAGAGAACTTTATCCAGGATGCGGTTGGCAGTTTGACTTTAGAGGAGGGCTGCCGCCATGTCGGTTTCAACGGTAGATGGAACAAGAAGGCAGATACGTGCTACGCCTGGTGGGTAGCAGCTACATTGGCTGTGAGTGGCCCCCCTTCTCCTTCTCCTTCTCGCCTCTCACTAACTTTCTACAAATAGATGCTCGGTAGCCCCTACCCAGTGAGTGTTGAGGGCTCTAGGAGATATCTACTTGAAGTTACACAGCACCCTATAGGTGGCTTTGGCAAGTTTGCTGGCACGCCCCCCGATATCTACCACTCATATCTGGGGCTGGCGGTTCTGGCGGTGTTTGGCGACGCGGATTTGAAAGATTTTGACGTCGGCTTGTGCTGCAGTAAGGAGACAACAGGGAAGATTGAAAAGGCAAGAGAAGGCTTACTCAAAGCCACCGAGGGCGAAGATCAAACGGCATGGGCATCCGATGGCTTCTGGGCGAGCTAGAGTGGCAGGGAAATTTCTGCGTCCATCACAAAATTCATTCTAATCAAGAATAAGATAAAACCTTCTTAAAAGGCAAGGAAGCCGGTGAAAAGGAAGCAGGGTCAAGAATTGTAAATTACTTCCGACACGAGCAAAGGCACGTCGCCGAGATTTACCCGTCCTCGGAAAACGCCATGACTTCATCTCGGAACAATTGTCGTAAACATCAATTGATAGCGCCGACTTGCAAAGCTCGAACAATTCCGCATCTCTTCCACCAGCCAGCAGCGGCGCAATGTCCTCCGAGCCTAAAGACCCCTCCCAGGCCGACTCAGCAGTCTGGGACAAACAGACCCGACGCAAGTTCGAGAAGCAAGTAGCCATCCGCGCGCAGCCTCGCCAGCTCCGTCGCTAACCTCCACTACCAGCAAATCCACCAGCGAATTCTACGATCCCTGCCAAGAGGCCGCGCAACGAAGCTACAAATGTCTCTTCCGCAATGGCGGCGACAAGTCGATGTGTGGAGAGTACTTCCAGTACGTGCAGATGGGCCCATCGCGATTGAAGGACAGAGCCGAGCTGACTACGATGACTAGGGCCTACCGTGACTGCAAGCAAGCTTGGGTATGTGGCCGTTCAATTCATGCGACTTTCTCTATTATACCTATCTGCTGACAGATGTTCTCGCACAGACTGACAAGCGACGGGGAGTTCCATCGAAACCGAAAGAGTCGACATCAGAATGACAGTGATGAACCCGGAATAAAGAAAAAAGGAAGAAAAAAGAATTCAATTGTACAACACCATGGCATAGTGGTTAGCAACCGCAGTCGATCCGAAATGGCCACGAAGGCATGATATAATATCTAGATAGATGTGTATATTTACTTGTATATCAACATGTTGGGGCAGTTGTATGAATACGGGTTATTGAAGTTGTGCCGAAATAACTTGCAATATTTTCCGATTAGTGTCAAGATTATTGTCTTCGTCGGGATGTGGTAAGGACTTGTCATTCCATTAAAAGTCTTGCATGCAATTTGTTAAAGCTCCTTGGCAGGACCAAATAGCTCTTGAGCTCTGTCCAGCGCAATGCACGATGCTTGGCCATTAAGGCCTGCGCCACAGGTCATGAGCCCACTTTAGCGGGGTAGTATCAGCCACAGCTCACGAGCTCTCCTTCGCTCTCGCTTTGTCAAAGTCCCCGCCAAACCTACTTGTGGCTCTCGGAAAGAAAAGCACGGGTGAGAAAAGAGGGAAAAAAGGGAGAAAAGTAATCGGTCTGATTCATTGCATCCTCTTCAAACTCAAATTCATACAAGGGACCCGCTAGCGTCCCCCGAGCTCAAATGAACCGTTCACGACCTCGGCTCAAGAATGGAGTCGACCTTCAGCTGCAGTCCGCCTTCTCAGACGGCAACTGGCCAGTCGTGATCCGGCTCGCTGAGAAGCGGATGCGGATGCTGAACGACCAGTATTACCAGGTCCGTGCTTTGGCCAGTATCCAGAATTATCTGCCTGGTATCAATTACTAACCCCTTTTTTACAGATCCTAAAAGTCGTTGCAGAGTCCCAGCTTGATGACCCGGCTCATAAACTGGCAGCTGTCACGGCTCTATATCAGTACGTTAAGGACGGCACTGTGATCAAGGATGTCGACGCCATCGATTTGCTAGAATGGGCAACCGGAGACCTCACTCATGAAGATGAGTTCCTAGAGACTCTAGGCCCGTTGCGAGTAAGGGCTGTGAAAGCTGCTCCCAAAGACAAAGTGTCAGCATCACGTGCTTTGGAGTCATGTCTTTTGCATTGGGACCTCGTTAGCGCTCAACAAGTATGTTCCAGTTACTAGAAGACAAGGGAAAGGGGACTACCAACTAACCATATGTGACAGATTGCCGCTACTTTGGACAGATCGTTCCCTCAAGAGAGACAATTCTTGTTTTGGAACATCGTCGTCACCTATCTTCTCTCGGTAACGAATTCATTTTGTTTCAGTGCTAGGCATCTATTTACTAACAACCAATCCTAGACAAGCTCACAGGCTGATGCTACCAAGAAGAAGCTCTATGGTACTTTAGCGCTGAAACAGATAGAGAGAGCTGCTCAGGCCACAGAGCAGGTATTGTCTTTTCCTTCGGAATTTAATTCAAGCACGAACATCTCCTTCTAACAGAAAAATTGCAGGCATTCCAAGCCGACTCAGCTGCTCCGGCACCGGCCCGGGGCATTCAATCAGAAGAGGAGATCCTCCTACTTTATGATATCATGGAAACTCACGGGTCACCAGCAGACCTAGAGAAGGTTACATCGAGTCCAGTCTTCGGCCTTATCTCACAATTCCGTCAGGGCCGGAAGGAACCTTTATTACGGGTGATTGCCAATAGCCGTAGCAACGGCAACTGGATTTCTATTTTCCGTCTATGCAATGACTGCTTGTCTGAGGTGGATGAATCTGGTGAGCCAAACCTGTTGGCTTCAGACTGGTCGATATGGAAGGAATTCATCGAGGCTGCAAACCACATCAAGTCTTCTGACGAGAGGTATGTGACTGAGCTAGTGGTCAGAAAGTATCAGCTCCCTAACAGTCTAAAGTGCCCCGAAATCAGTACAGGAACTTCTCCTGAAATTATCCAAGTCAACAAAGCTGCGTCCCATATATAAACGGAACTTGCAGCTTGCTCGATTGTCTGCTGCCTTCTATCTTGCCACCAATGACAGGGAAGAGTCTGAGAGTAATGCGGTGTCCTCTTTACAATTGCAAGAGCTTACCCAATATATCGAAGTCCATGCTACCAGTCCAGCTTGTTTCGATGATATCAAACCTTTCATTGAACTTTTGGGTCCTTTGGGCATGAAAAATCTGGCATACGAGATTCTCCCAGACCTTAATAAACGAAACGAGAATGAAAGTCGGGCTTCAAAAGCCATCAAAGTCCTCACTCTCAAAGTCCAGTACTTCGTCTCAACATCCCCCCTATCATACACCACTATCCATGGTTCTCTCCCCAGCTACAAATGTTCAGTGTGTGAGAGCGAAACAGGCACACCCTCATGCCTATCTTGCTTTTCTACCCTTTCAAAGCAAGGAATTCAACTCTACAAGTCCATCACTGAGGAATCGCCAGATGGGTTTTCTGCCGAATCCGATACCCTTTCAGAGCTTGTGCTTCTGATCGCTTTCTGCAGCCTTCAGCATGCCAAGCTCAATTCTAAGCCTCCTTATTCCGCAGAATCGACCCGACACATACTCCAAGCAATGCTCCTCCTTGAACATCAACTTGCATTTAACCCGAAACACAGCCAGTTCTTACTCCTTCTCCTCCAAATGCGCCTTCTTGTAGGCTCTGCCCCTAGGTCTCGTCAACTGCTGGAAGAACTTACCATTAAGCGCACAATCATGGATTCGTTGGGCCCTCTATTTTATGATCGCCTTTCAACACTTTCTCCAAATGTCCTATCACCTTCCGATAATACAGGTTGGCAAGTGATGGATATGCTCTCATCACACTTCAATGTTTCACTGAAGCTCAGGATGCCTCGTCGCCTTATTGACGCTTTCGAAGCAGAGAGCTATAGCTCAGTCTTGAGTATCCCTCAATACATCAATGATCTTAGGAGAAGTTGCACACGGGCAATAAGTCTTGTGGAAGAGAACAGGTCTGAGAGACTACTTGGCTGTCCTACTTGGGAATTTTTCAGCGAGGATCGCTATAGTATGTGATGGTGGCATGACCCTCCTCAATTCAGTGCTAACCTCATGGATCAGCTGAAACTACTGATGACACGGAACTGAAGAGTGTTATTGATTATGGATCCTTCCCTTCATGGGAGAGCAGTGCCGTATCCCCGCTCTATTCTCACTTGCGAGTTGGGCCTATACCGAGCGTAAGATCTATTTGCTTCGTCTTTACAGGTCCCACAACTAACCTCCAACGTATGGTCAGAATCGCCGACTTCACCTTGCCCTTCTTGCTGAAGGCTTTCAGGAAACCCTGGGTTACAAGCCCCCTGCGGCATACAAAGTCGTCAATACCACACTAGCATCAGACCAGCTATTTGTGCTGGAGTCCCTGAGCCAAATCAGCAATTCTTTCTCCCGCTTCCTCTCCGGTCCCGATGACGAGCTCACAGCACCAGAGATTGTCTACTACGATCTCATCAATCTCCTGAGCACCCTTATTCCTCTCTGCGCTGCTGGCCCACGGTCAGCTGGCTTCGAGGAAGCGTTTGGCGAGCTCGCTAAGGCGGCAGAGGCTGCATTAGACACCCTTCGTCTCCAGCTTCCTTCCGAAGACGATGACAGTCTTGAGGGAACTATTTCTACACTTGGGTCTATGCATGGCCTGGCAATGTACCGAGATGCCGCTGTTGCTATTTCAGGCACAGCACAGTGGATACTTGACTTTAACAAACATGAAAAGGAGCGCGACCGATCCGGTCAAAGTAACCTCCCCAAGGACACAGTCGGCCAGGTCACGGCCCTGCAGTCCGCCGCCGCCGCAGCGCTCAAGGATGGCCAGTCGCGGGTTTCCGGACTCAAAGGCCGAGTCCAGGGCTCCTTCCAGTCCCGACTCAAGACATGGGTGTTCGAGGGTGCGGAGGATATCCGAGACATTATTGAGGACGACATCGTGGCTGATTTCGCCTCGCACATAAGAGAAAATGTACAGGGCTGGCAACATGTGAAATGGGAGTAAAATAGACTATAGACAGCTCGCGTGGGACACAGACTTGGTGTACAAGTGAATCTTGGAGACTTATACTGCCTTCTATGCAATCCCATTCGTCGACCCCGCGACTGGCAGTACTCGCTTTGACAATGCCCGCCATGCCGTCTGACCTTAGAATACGCAGTGGCCAGAGTACCCAACCTCCGATGCAACATCATATGCGTCTATCCGAATATATTCCCACTTCTCTGCATGATACAGGTCACAAATGGCATCGAAAAAATACAAAGCAGTCTCCCAGCCACCCTGATATCCCCTGGGCAACAACCTATGTGCGGGTTTCATCCTGCCACACACCGACCGCTGGTTGCGCAGCATCGAGTCGATAATCACTTGCTCACCAGGGAACATCCTTCTTTTTGGCCAGTGGCTTTCCTGAAACCCATGCTAGCGCTCCTGCATCAGAACTTTCTTCTGCGAGTGACAATTTCATTCGCACAGCATGATATGCACCCAGGGCCAGAGCATTAGGCTTCCACAAACCTACTACCCAACGATTAAATGACAGTGCTCCTTAATATTTAGGTTGTAACGGGAGTGTATGACGAGTTATCGTTCTCCTCCGTGTCAATTTCCGAACAATAGCATATCATTGTTGGGTGGCGAGCCGCCACAAGGGCTTGGGCCGCAGTTTTTCTTTTCTTTTTCCAGCCCCATCAAACACGAGGATTCCGAACTGCAAGTAAGCGAGCTGCATCTTCGTTCTGGGGTCCGGGGCAACGCCTTGGAGGAAAATTTACACCCAGGATGGCGTTCGAGCTAACATTCGCCTGTAGTACTCTTGTGAAATAAAGAGGCGGCCCTCCAACTGGAGGAGCTTCCCTCCTTTTAATCTATATCGTACACTTTCCAGAGCTGGGCATCTCACGTTCACTCGCCCTCCTTCTACTTATTTTTTGCTTCCGCCTCTTCAGTAAGGCTTTCTTCAGTCTCGGATCGTCCCACTCCCTTGAGCTCGGACGCTGTCTCAATATGTTCCTACCTCCCATACGAAGCAGTTTCCCACTACTCCCGGGGTTCAGCTTTGGCGAAAAACCAACGAGCTACCCGGTCCGTAATGATTTTCACGTCAGTAAAATGGTGTTGGGTATCAAAACGTATGAAAAGCGGGGGGATGCGTCCGAGTATACCACTATAAGCAGTAACTTGATCGTCCTCTTCCGAGTCCTGGCCTTTTACATTGACCTTCAAGCCCTCCCAGGCTTTTGGGAAAACATCGCTCAGGGCTGGAAGGTGACCAACGTGGAAAATACAAGGTCCATCGTCAATTTCTACGCAGATCGACACCTGGATTGGGCCAGAAGCCCCGGAATGGGTACCAAGAACATGAGCTGGAGGGATAAGCTGCTTATACACCTGGTTGGGTACTGGTGCGAACATCGTGAAAAGACAATACGCCGGTCCGGGCCTGATGATCTGCGTCTCTTCCGAGATATGGGCATTGAATGGTCCTATCTGAGGGACGTCCGCCGGAAAGCCTTATTTTCCGATATGGGGGACGCATCTTTGAGGGGATTAGCTCGAAACGTCCCAGAGTTGACCATTTCCTATTCCTTATCTGCACAGCGTGATAAAACGTCTGCTCGGCGCGTTGGCCAAAGTCAAGAGTTCAACAGGACTTGGCAGAGCCCTACGGACCCCCGGACGGAATCCAAGTCGTCTCAGTCATTTGAGAGGGGCTACACCGAACAAAGGAACCCTCGCCACCGCTCTAGAAGCTTCAGTGTGCCCAGAGGAGCTCAGCCTTTGGATGCAAGCTTCAGCGAATCCCAGAGATCTCGGCTGCGAGGTGGAGCTGTTAATGAACCTGTGACATCTCAATCATCCGAAACAAGTCAGATGATGACTGGCGGGCATCAGCACCAACACGAAGGATATATATCATCGCAACCTTTCCAGGTCAATCCAAGCCAACTTGGGGTTTCTCAGTCTCTCGATTCAAGCTGTCCGCAATCCCAGGAGCTCCCAGTCATCGCCAAGAGTGTTACGCCGGCCAAGGACATCAAGGACACCATTCCCAAACCCAGCGCAAAGAAACCGCAGCCGAAGAAACAAGTACCTCTGTCTCCTAAGCGAATTCAAAAGGCACTTACCTCATCTCCATCTCCCAGCACCGGCAGCGATGGCGACTTCGACTCTGAAGAATCCGACTCCGAGTCTGAGAGCGAGACGGAAGCCAGCAGTGTCTACCAAGATACTGGCTCGGGCGCTGAGCCGGGTGCCATACAACGTTTCAAACGTGACCATATCCCTCGGAAGATGACCCGGAGCCTCACTACAAGTCCCTCTGGCAACTCTTCGAGCAGCGGGGACAGCAGTGATTATGATAGCGCCAGCGACAGCAAGGACGAGGTCGACGAAAATAACCACGGACGTTTCAGTGACAGCGTCGGTGAAAGCAGTAGTGGTAGCGACAGCGACAGCGACAGCGACAGTAACGATGACAGTGTCAGCGACAACATCAGTGGCACCAGTAGCAACACCGATGGAGGCAGTAGTGTCAATGACAGCGAAAGTAGCGACGACGACAGCGATGGTAGCGAAGATGAGAGTGATTCTGAGCCCGAGCCACCAAAACCCCTTACTCCCAAAAAGTCTGTCAAAAAGCCTGCCAAGACACCTTTGGGGGCTTCAACGCGTGGTAAAAAGAAGGTCCGACCTTCAAATGACACGAAAGAGGGGGAAGATCGTATCAAATCTGAGCCCGACTCTGACTCTGGCATCGCATCAGTCCCCATGGCGTCAATCCCGTCAAAGGATCGGGAGCCTCCCACCTCGGCTCAGAGACCTTCCGTTCCACCAACAAAGCGTAGGGGACAGCCAAACCCAGAGATCCGACCTGCCAAGAGGCGTCGTGAGGAAGACGAGGCCGAGAAACAGACCGCCACAGGGCGGCCCGCGGCGAAGAAAAGGGCAACGGCGCAGCAGCAAAGCAGCCCCAGTGAGAGAACGAAGTCAAGCAAGGCTCGGCGTCGTGACAAGAAACCGCCGGCCGAGGCTTCATATGGCGAAGAGTCAGCCAAAGCCAGACGTTATGCTCAGAAAGAGAGTAGTAGCCCTCGCCCAAAGCAAACGTTCAAGGATCTTTCCCCGATCGGATCAGAGCACAAGCGCTCCATTGACATGCTGATCCAGCGTATTAATGCGCTGGAGGAGAAGAGCATGAGACAAGATAAAAAGATCATGAAGCAGGACGAGAAGATTATGAAGCAAGACAAAAAGATTATGAGGCAGGATGAGAAGATGATAAGACAGGACGAGAAGATCATCAAACAGGATGAGAAAATGATGAAATAGGCCGGTTTATGTAAGCTCCATGGAGATGCGATGAAGTTTTGGGCGGAACTTGGACATGTGAGCGACCGAGACGGTTGTGGAACTAGATAGAGATAATTGAATGGTATTGTCGACGTTTCAAACTCATCCTCGTGGCGTATGACATACTGGATACCTTTCCCCAGTGCGTGTAGCTATCACGTAGCAAGTGACATCGAGTATTCAATGCTTCTGTCTTTGCGATCATCGGCACACAATCAAGATTATGCCGTGTACATTGTCCACCAGCTTGTAGCAGCCCCGAGCGGTACTCATCCCACAGCTATTCCCATCTCAACACACTGATCGTCCAAGTGCTGCCTAGGAGATACTTATTAGAATATAAATATTTTGTCCTCTAGAGCTCAGTCTACTGCGAACAATATGGCCAGTACTGGTAACCCTTCGAATAACGACCCGCGAAAGGATCGTTATCAATACAATGATATCGGGCCTTTCGAGAGCATCTGATATACATTGATATTAGGTAGCCATGGCCAGAAAAGTATCAAACTCGATATGCGCGATCGGGAGCATGCAAAAGATGAGGTTCATGAGGATGTTCGCAAGTGTATCTACACCCAAGCGTGGCCTCGACTTTGACTGGGACGAAATAGGGCACTCACGCACTGCGGAGTTTGGTGATCAGACATACTTTACCTGTCGCTGGCATAAAGAGGGCACTTGGGAAACTAGTGGTGGTACACGCAGACCTTAGTTCAACGAGGGAGAGTTGCTTCAAAAAGGAGAGCAGTTGGAAGTAACCTGGCCACTGCTCAGAGGGAAGCGAAACGGGGTGGGGGGGACTGAGCCATCAACGGTCTCAGTCCAGTCAGAGAGAGGCCACGAATTAAATCCCATACCATCCCCAATAAAAATATACTTGTCTTGCTTGTGGAGACGAGACGTGCACAAGGCAACACAGAGAACACTGCGCACTCACCTCACGTCGCTATATCGAGCACTGGCGGGTTTTGTTTGGGTGGACCTCGTCATTCCTGGGTGGGATTTGACTGACGTTGTGGCTTGCGAGTCTGGAATTGTCAACGGTCGATGCGTGGTCTGTCTCGGCGAACGGCGAGAGCTAACCGTCTCTTCCTTTCTTGATTGAAAACGAGGCCCAGCATTTGTCGACCAAGGCGCAGGGATACTTAGGCAAAGAAGGGATCTGTTTCTAGACCGGATTGCACATGAAATAGTATTGGCATTGATTGATTGTTCGGAGGGAGAATGAGTATTCGAGGACTGGGCCCCCTGGACTCCTCCTGGGGGTCTGCGGTAGGTGTCGGGGCTCCCTGGTCCCCATCGCACAGTATCGTCGTCACAGTAGTACGTACCCCATGAAGAGGAACGATCGACGTCCAAGGATGACGAAATTGGCGCTCAGGTGCGACTGATCGCCAAGACTTTTGGACAGAAGAGAAGCCAACCAGGGGACACGGGCCATCTTGAACTGGACAGAATCAGATGGAGATCTCAGCGAATGGCTTCTGGTTCCCCTTGTTAGTAACTTACCACCTCCTGCTAGAGGCAGGCACCGCCCCACGTACAGAGTAATTGCTCAAGACCCGAGGCCTCAGGGAGCCAACATAGACTGGAACCCGTTGTGCGAAGCCCCTGACTGGGACTGGCACGGACGGGCAGCCATGGATCGGTCGCCGCTCCTTGGCTCCATCGGTGGACATGGACGTGGATTGTGGAAGCCAGTGCCACTGCACTGTTTGACTGTTTCATGTCGCAGTTTCGGCTGGCATGGAATAAGCTTTTGCTGTGCCTTGGACTGACTCTGCGAGCGTTCGACCCACCCACGGCTGCTTCTGGAACAATGTTCCAGGAGGTGAGGAAGGAGCACTGCACCTGCACCTGCACCTACCTGCACAGCAGAGGAGCACAGGGCACGCGCGGCAGTCGACGGTTTCGTCCACATTTGCTCCCATCCCATCCCATCCCATCACCACAACATGGATGGCCGCATGCGTCCCATCCCAAGCTCCCACCTGCCTTTGCCGTGTCCTCTCTGACATACGCGCACGTAATCCAATCCGTCCACGCCATGCTCTCCCCCCTTTGATGTGGGTGTGAGGTGACAGCTCCACGCAGATGCCACTTGCAAGGGCGCCTGGTCCCGTCCATCAGTCTCGGAAAGCCAGCCAAGAAAAGCCAAGCAATGAGGCCACACGGCAATGCCACAATACGTAGGTAGGTATGTCTGTACGAGATTTCCATGTGGATGCCGTTCGTCCTGGAGCTGGTATGACGGCCAAACACGCGAGGCTAAGTGAATGCGTACCAATCTGGATGCCACAAGACCCATCTCAGAAATGTCGTGGGTGGTCCCTTCCCGCCATTGGCGCAACTTACGACTTCTGTTTGCGTTTCGCTTCCCTTCCCTCATGTTTCCTTTCTCTCATCACCGTACAGTGTCTGAGCTTGACGATCTCTTTAATACCTACCCTCCGAAACACCCCTGCCCGCCTAGCTCAGGCAGTGTCTTGCTGATCTCTCATTCCGGCGGGATACACCTCGATCAATACTGGGGCATTCGTCATCCTCTTTTCTTCTCCTCGCTCCCATCTCCCCGTTATCCGGACCAACTTCATCTTTCTCACATCTCTCTGCCTCGTCCAGTGAGCTCTCGTCACAGTTCACTTCCTCAATTGAGGATGCCTAGCACCCCACGATAGGAAACACTCTCTTTTCACTTGTTCATTCAACCCCTTACCTCATTAACATCATCTCAATCTCCTTATTTTCTTACTTCAATCCCCGGAGGACCCTGGAGCGTACCGTTTTACCTAGACCATTCTTTTAATTCCGGCAAAAGAAAAGCCTTGCGCGGCCCCAACCACATCGCACCTCATTTCCTCTCGACCATTTCAACTACTCCTTCTCAACGCCTGGACACGTTGCTCACAGCCCTGGCAGAGCTCAGCTCATTTTATACAGATCTACGGACCTACGCCATGAGGGCACCTATCTACATGTCGCCAGGTACTTACAGGAGAGCCTTGGTCTTGGCTTCAATTATCTTCTCGATCACAGTAATCTCTCTGGTGACATCCGACCACGCAGCTTATTCTAATCACCATCGACCCCCGACGACGTCATGGTCATTTCCATCCGGTGAGACCCCTGGTCAAATGAAAGCCAAGGAATGCCCGTTAGAAAGCCCCTACCTACGACGACATCAAAACAGCTTGACCAGAGAGATCGTCTATCATTCACACTGCATTCGACTCTCCGATACTGAGCTAGCTCAACGAAATGTGGTTGCCGACATCAACGTTCCCCTTCTTGAACGTGGCCGAATTCTCGATCGCCAAGGATCATGCGAGGAATGGAAGCCAAGACATTGTGATACCATCGACCTAAAAGTTCCAAGACCCTTCCCAACCCAGAAATATCCACAACTGCTCTTCGGCCTCGCCACAAGCTATGACCGTCTTCTCGACTCGCTTTCCCAACTCTCTCACTGGCTCTCTGGCTCCGGAGCTCGTCTGGTAGTCATCATCATCGACGCTAACAACCATGCTTCGGATCTCGGTCGCCTGCTCCACCTCTTCAGAAGCCACGATATCGATCTCGTTGTCGCACCCCCCTGGGCAGATGGATCTCTAGGCGCAAACGAGCAGCACTTCACCATCCTCCGCGATATGTTGAATCATCTCACTCCCGATACCAAGTGGCTAGGTGTCATTGACGATGACACCTTCTTCCCTTCGCTCTATCCACTCGCCGCTCTCCTCGCCGATCGTGATCATACCAAACCTGCATACCTCGGTGCCCTTTCAGACAGCCTCGATGCCCTCCAAAGACACGGAATGATGGCATACGGTGGGGCTGGTGCTTTCTTAAGTATCTCGTTAGCGGAGCAGCTTGAGCCAAAGATAGAGAGCTGCCTGAAATCCAGCCCGTCTCCCCAGGGAGATGCACTTCTCAAGAACTGCATTGCCAACCAAACAACCACCGAGCTGGAACTTCTGCCAGGCCTTAATCAGCTGGATATTATGGGCGATCCCAGTGGCTTCTATGAATCCGGACGGTATCCTGTGAGCCTGCACCACTGGAAGTCTTGGCACCAGAACCCAGTTGATCTAATGGCGAAAACCACCGAGTTGTGTGGGTCGTGCATGATGCAGCGATGGCGGTTCGGATCTGATACTGTGCTTTCAAACGGTTACAGCATCGTGCAATACAAGGAAGGGATCGACCTCGAAGAACTCGAACACACCGAGGCAACATTTGACTGGAGCCATCTTTACGAATGGAGCCTGGGACCGCTACGAAACAAAACAGAGCCACGTCTCAAAAAGAAATATCAGCTTGTTGATTCCGAAATGATCGGTGGCACCCTGAGGCAGCTATATTTACACAGAGCCGAGGACTTTGGGTCAGTAGAATACTCGTCTGGAAAACTCATCAGCAAATCCGACAAAGTAGCCAGGGATGAGCTGGTGGAATTGTGGTGGGACTGGTCGAGTCTCTTGGCGCGATGAGGGATGAGTTGTTGGCTTCCCGCTCTATCTACTTTCAAAGAGAAAAATAAAGGATGGCTGGCCTCCTTTTGCTGGGTGCTGGATTCTCTCTAATCTAGCCATGGTTTCTCTAATTAACTCCCGTGGCCTCGCATCACAAGATGATGTGGTCGCTGGCTAGCGTCGGCCTTGGCAGCTGTGCGAGGCCGGTCAATGCTGGGCTTTAACTCACCCAACAACAAAATCAAGCTCCGAATTTAGGTATGCATCTAAGGGTTTTGTGGGGTGGTGGGAAACTGGCGATATCGGCTATTATGTCAAATGGAATCAGGCTAGGAAGAAGAGGGGGCGTCTTAACCTGAAATGGACAGGAAGCTAACGCCCAGCGACATTGTATATAAGATCAGATGTAGAATATCCCATTTGAGATTCTTGGTCAGATGACTACAATAATAATTCATGTCAGACCAAGTCCCAGCTTCGGACTACTCATCATTACCAGTCGAACCAGCGATGGCTTCCCAATATGTGCGTCATGGTGCAGAGAGTATCGTCGGCCGGCTCCTGGTGGGTATTCTTATCGTCGCCGTGGTATGGAGATGTTCAGTCTCCATCCTCCAAGTTAGTTGATTCAAGGAAAGTGAAACTGTACACATACATATAATAATCTGACTTCTCACAGTCAACATGGCGAAACAAACAATCACCATCCAAGGATCAACAAGCTGGGACACAAGAACATCAACTAGTGGCGAAAAACTTCGATTGGGCAACAGCAGAGCCTAAGAAGCTACGGCCTTTCAAGCCTATCTACCATATCACGATGGGTGAGCTGCCACTCAAGGCATGCTACTTACACGAGCCCCTAGCTGACCTGGTAACAGCGATTCAGAACAATTCTTTGTCGGAGCTGATAATTATGGACAAAAATTATCTATCCAGAATCAATCTAAGGCGGCAACTCATGGAGCGCCACCAAAAAACAGTCTACGGTTGCCTTCCGACTGGTAGAGAAGCCGTTCATGAGCTATACGCTTTCCTCATGGGAGAGCATTTGCCGAGCCACTACCCATGCATGTTCCGCCTGACCGGCTGCAGCAAGATGCTTGAAAACACGGTGACAGGGCGAAGCTTTCCTGTCAACCCGTACGAGGATGGGGAGGAATGTCTCCGAGTCCTTGGACAAACCGTCGAGGAAGACATGTTCCTTCTTCACAAGACTCCCGAGGGTCATTTCACGGATGCCTTTGTCTGTTGCTTTCCATCGGGATTCAACCCATCTGAGAAGCTGGGGAAACTGTTGAAAGAGGTGCATGGGCCCGTCCCGTCGTACGAGAAGATTGGGGCGAGCATGGAGAGATACTTCAGCAAGCTAGAAGCTGGGAAGAGCGTGAAGAGGAACAACGTGAGTTGGGCGTTTAGAGTTTACCCGTGCATTGCATACTTCAACACGAGAGATTGGCAGCTGACCTAGACCCTGAAAGTGGTCGATCCAAACACACCCGGAACTGCTTGAGAGCGGGGATGATGGTACCACAACGAAGGACGTGCCTGTTCGAGGGGAAAGCTTCCGCATAGAGGAGGTCAGTGTGGTCAGATGCAAGGTCCACGGGCTTCTGCTTTCCTTCTTCCCTCCCCCTTTTCTTAATCTCCCCCCTTGGATTCTGGCTGATGTTGAACCCCAACAAACAACAGACTTACTTTCGATCAGAGTTGCAGGCGCTTACAAGATTGCCCAAAACGGGCTCGGTCTTATTCTCCTTCAAAACTTACATGTATCCGATCAGCGATATTAAGGAGGAAGGGCTGGGGCCAGAGCTGGCGGATGCGATGGAGGGGCTCAGGAAGGGGAATGCACCGGGAATGTGGCGTTACAAAGGTGCGGAGAGGTGGGCAGAGAAGCTTTGCAGCTATTTGCGTTCACCATAGAGCGAGCCCAGCTATCGTGAGACCCAGAGATGAGTCTCAGGATAATCAACCGGGGGGGTGGAGGTAGCTAGGCCTTCCGGTAGAATTTATGAACAAAATCAGTGTACTCTTTTCTGTAACGATATATGCGGCCAAGGAAACCTTGACAGATGCACTGTCGTTGGACGTCAAACGTGATTAGGAGGCACAGGCAGTCGAACTGCAGCCACGGGGCGCAAATATGAGGGGATAGTGAGGCTCGGCAGCTGATTGGATACTCGGCAGAGACACCCTGGCACCAGCCACAAGGCTGAGCTGTGGAAAGTGAACGACTGGCTGTTGCAGCGGCGCACCCGCTTTATCGGGAAAAAGAGTGTGTGTAACACCAGCCACATCTTAACTCGCCATCTCCAACTCCCATCCCACTCCTTCCCTCATCCAGCCAAGCCAAACGACAGGCAAACCGCAACCTACAAACCCCACACAGAAAAGTACTTCCAGCCCCTCAGCCTGGCGCCTGTTCGATGCGATTCCCCTGAGAGAGGAAGCTTTCCTACACCCAACGCCCTGTTCTGCCAAGAACCTGATACCTTAGGCTACGTCAGGCAGTATTCTGCTTGTATTGACATTTTTTTACCTTCTCGGCGCCGTTTACTCTTCAGCAGGGCAAAGTGCCACCTGAACAACCTTCGCGCTACCTACGAGAAGTAAAGTAGGTACCTACCGTACCTTGATATAAAGTAAGCGCGCCACGGCCAATGCCGACATTGTACCACGATCCACCTTTAACCGCCTTGTCGTCACGAGCAGCTGCCGTCGACGACCACCACCAGCAACATTCCTGACCAGCCTAATTCTTCAAACCAACAGCATTTGATTTCCCGACACCAGTCTACACATCCTTGTCTTCCCAGTCAGCGGGCCGCAGCCAGCTCCTACACGCGCACACGCACCTACACGCACATCCACGAGCCGATCGCAGCCTTTCTGTGCTAGCGCCATCTTCCCTTTCCACCCTCGGCACTCACGCTGCACGCATCTCAGCCTCGACCACTCCAACAGCCCGCACGAGCTTGCACTGGGCTAGTGATCGTGTTTCCTGGCTGGCTGCGCCGTTGATACAGCCTAACCTCGCCTTCCTCCGCCACCCGAGACGATACCTCGAACCCTCCTGCTTCTTCAAAGAAGACGGTTACACGGACCTCGTGCTTCGCCAGTGCTGCCTTTACGAAACCCTCAGTCTTAGATCGAAAGCAGGTCCCCGGTTGGGCAGAAGCCATCATGAGTGCTCCACGTATGTTTTATCTCTTGCACATCCAATTCCCCCTTTGTGGTTCAAACAGTAGTCATGCCTGAGCTAACACCTACCTCTCTATCTTTCCAATAGTGTCGAACGCCGATGAGAAAAAGTTCGCAGCTGTCATTGATGCGATCCTGGAGACCGCGGACCTCGAGACCATTTCCCAAAGGAAGGTTCGGCAGGCTCTCGAGGCTCGACTTGGGGGTAAGGACCTCAGCAACCAAAAGGTGAGATCCTTGCCAGTGCCGGCAAGCTTGCTTGGGATACATGTGTTCTCGCTCCCACGAGCCGTATGCATGGACGTCGCTTAACTTGTTTCATGCTAATCACCCGTCAAACGGCAGGATGCTATCAAGGACCTAATCCAGACACGTTTCGAGGCACGACTGTCCCAGGACGCGCAGGAGGATGAGGACAGCGAGACGAAGAAGAGATCCTCAACCAATGGCGCTTCCCACTACGACGACGACGCGAATACCGACCCATCTGCGTCCCCTGAGCCGGCGAGGAAGAAGGTCAAGCGATCTTCCTCTGCTGAAGAGGCCGACGCCCGTCTGGCGGCCCAACTCCAAGCTCAAGAGAACAGCCTAGCTCGGAGCAGGTCCACCCGCGGCGGTGGCACAGACAAGAAGGCGACCAAGAAGAAGAAGGTGCCCCGAAAGAAGAGTGCGAAGAAGGTCAAATCGGAGGACGACAGCGACGTTGAGGGTGCCGAGCCCAAAAAGAAGCGGTCTGGAGGTGGCTTCCAGAAACCATTCAACCTCAGCCCAGCGCTTTCTGAGCTCACCGGCGAGACCCAGGTATGGTTATGTTTCTCCACGTCTATCATTTGTGCTTTCATGCCAAATCTCCGCGAGCAACCGTTTGGCTCCCAATCACACATAGTATCACAAGCTGACAAGGTTGTCCGTAGCTGTCACGGCCCGGAGTTGTCAAGAGTCTCTGGGCGCACATCAAGGCCAACGACCTCCAGGATCCAACCGACAGGCGACAAATTCTTTGCGATGAGAAGATGCAAGCCATCTTCAAGCAGACGAAGGTTGACATGTTCCGCATGAACAAGGAGATCAGCAACCATCTTTACCCTGTCGAGGAGGCATAATTTTCTACCCCAGTCTTTCATAACATAATTTCATCACTCTACAGTTTTGGGAATGCGTGCAAACCAGCAGGCAGACAACCGAAACGGTCTTGGTGGTGTAAGCTACTGCTATTGCTGTTATTATTAGCAGGCGCAGGTACGAGTCACGGCAATTGCGAGCAACTTGGGGAGGGAGGATTTTGATATTTGCGAACTATCTTGGGTGAGGGGCGCCCGGCGGCGTGTTTTTTTCGTTATTCGCCTTGTTTTCTCCCTTTATTTTGCTTTTTCTATTTGTTTAGGGAACTCACGACGTTAAGCATACAAGATGTTATCGTATGAAAAGCGATGGATCAACCGGTAAAGGGTGTGAATGGATATGCATAGGGACAAGGTTATTTCAAGGATGGGGGTGGGAGAGGAGGGACGGAAGAGGTGGCGAGGGTGTCCGCTTCCTGACGTTTCCTGGCTATTGGGGGAGTGGTATTTGAGGACATTGGAGAATGGAACAGAACAGCGAGTGAGGTGATACGAGGTCTTGATAAACAAACGACAAACACAAACCACCGATGTATTTTATTATGAAACAGGCAGAGGCTTCCTGCAGGTATAATTACCAGCAAGTAGGGAGAAATGAATAATGTCCGTTTTCACGAGTTTGCGTGACTCTCTTTTGGTGGTGGTGCTTTTGCCTTTTGATCTCTGCTCAAGAAACTAATTGAATCCCAATGA